CCCGCGCCTTGCTGCGCCGATGCGAGACCACCAGTAGAGCCCCAGCCAAGGGTAAAGCACAACGAAATATCGAGAGACAGGATTGCCTTGGTGGGGGATGGGGCTGTCGGCGGCGAGGCAAAGACTTGGTCCTGAATAGAGAGGGAAGAGGTCTCGACCAGGGCCGCCATAGTTACTGGGAGCGGCGCCCAGTGCTGAAGAGAGTAGGGCGCTAGTCCAGCATAAAAAACTAAGTCTCGAGCGGGAACGCTGGTTTTGTTGGGACGGCGGTTGTCGGCGACGAAAGAGCACACCGCCTTGAGCAAGAAGGGAGGAAGCCTAGAACGGGAGCCGTGGCTTTGTCGGGACGGGGGCTGTCGGCGGCGCGGCGCAGCACCGTCCTTAGTGAAAAGGCAGGAAGCCTTCAGCGGGGGTTTTGTTCTTGCTGGGAGCGGCGCCGATTCAAAATAGAGTAGGGCGCCAGTCCAACATAAAACGGTAGGAAGTCTCGGGCGGGAGCGCTGGTTTTGTCAGGGCGGCGGTTTTCGGCGGCGAGAAGGAGCACCACCTTGGGAAAAAAATGAGGAAACCTCAAGCGGGAGCGTTGTCGTTGCTGGGGGCGACGCCGATGAGAGAAAGAATAGCGCGCCAGTTCAAGGTAAAACGGGAGGAACTCTCGAGCGGTAGCACTGGTTTTGTTTGGACGGCGGCTTTCAGCGGCGAGCAAGAGCACCAACCCTGAACAAAAAAGGAAGACATCTTGAGCGGGAGCCGTGGTTTTGTCGGGACGGGGGCTGTCGGCGGCGACGAACAGCACCGTCCTGAGGAAAACGGGAAGCCTCGAGGGGGCGTTGTTCTTGCCGGGAGCGGCGCCAATTCGAAAGAGAGTAGGGCTCCAGTCCAGCGTAAAATGAGAGGATGTCCCAGAGGGAGCGCTGGTTTTGTCGGGGCGGCGGTTTTCGGCGGCGAGAAGGAGCACCGCATTGAGTAGAAAGGGAAGAAGCCTCGAGCGGGAGCGTTGTTGTTGCTGGGGGCGGCGCCGATGAGAGAAAGAGTATCGCGCCAGTCCAAGGTAAAACGGGAGGAAGTCTCGAGCGGTAGCGCTTGTTTTGTTGGGATGGCGGCTTTCAGCTGCGAGCAGGAGCACCAACCCTGAGTACAAAAGGAGGAAGTCTCGAGCGGGAGCCTTGTTGTTGTTAGGGGGCCGTTTTGGGAGCCCCACCAAGACGCTCGATCGTGAGCCTCTGGCGCCGAGGCGAGAGCGCCAGGGCGCCTCGGGGGGGTCCAACAATAATGTTTGTTGTCCGTATCATGCAACAACCACAAGAACAATAACAACAACCACAAAAACAAACAATAACAACAACAACAACAACAACAACAACAACAACAACAACAATCCAACAGCCACGCGCCCAGGGACAGAGAATGAGCGTTCGGCCCCCTCACTCTGATTATACGAGCCGGAACCGGGTCAGCTGTGACCCCTCAGACTCGCTCAAGCGTGCCCATTGCGCACTGGGATCGAACTCCGAGCTGCCTTCCAGGGGCATCTTAGAAGCAGTCTTGAAGCCTCTAGGAGTCTCGGTGGGGCCTATTTTGGAGCTGTTGTTAGCCTCCTGGGGGTCTCTCGCGGGCCACTTGGGGACGCGGCCCTCTTGGGCTATCTAAGGGCCTTCTTGGGGGCCTCGTGGGCCGTCTTGGGGGCCTGTAGGGTAGTCCTGGACGGAGTGAAGCCCAAATCAGCGAATGTACTACCAATGCGAATTTCCCCGAGAAGATGGGGCGGTTCTTGCGTTTCGGGGCCTCTTGGGGGACATCGTGGGGCCCTCTTGAACGATCATGGGGGCTTCTTGGGCCGTTTGGAACGCTTTGTGGGCTGCCCGACACCCCATCCAGGCCATCTTGAACCGCCTTGACGGCCGTCGAATCTCACTCGGGGGCATGTTTTGGGGCCCCCGTGCGCGGGCCCGGCCACACGATCCCGTGGGCCTCGGACGCGAGGCATACCATACGACAGCCACACGCGCGCTTCGCGCGCGCGTCGGCTTTAGCGCAGTCCGTGGCGCTGTGATGACACTTCGGTTGTAGTTTGTGGGGTCGCGAGTTTGAATCCTTGGGCAATCCTGGGGTAACGACTCGCTGTCGGAGAGTGGTTGCGGCCGTCTTGGCCTGGGTATGCGATGCCGCAGAGCTTCTTTGGACTGGCATTGGAGCTGTTTTTTGTTTGGGGGGGGGCTAGTGTCTTTGGCCTCAATGATCGTTGTAACGACACGCATGTCTTGGCTTGTGGGCTTGTCGGGGAGATCTCTGAACAACCTTGGATCATTGACTGGCTTTCAGATGAACTGTCAAGGCCGACTTCTGCGGTTCTTGGGATGTCGTCGCGTTGCCTTGGATTGGCTGTGGCACTATTTTGGGAACGTGGGAGCTGCAGAACATGTGAAACCATGGACTTCAGAGTTGATTATAAGCTGAGATTTGTCCCTGGGAATGATCATGGGAAGGCGTGGGGACAACTGGAGTACGGGAAGGACTGCGGACAGGTGGAGAAGAGCATGGATACATGAGAATGGGACGTATGAAGAGAAAAACGATTCGGTGGGATGGACGCGGAAGAGATAAGCGGAGTGGAATGGCCTTGACTGCCGTTCAATGAACTGGACAGATGAAGAATGGAGAGACGGACAAACATCAGAAGTCGCATAAAGACAAACTGAATTCAAACGCATGCGGAAGAATGGGGAGGGATGGAATGGGAAGGAATGGGAAGGGGTGAGCAGGGGCAGGGAATGGTGGGGTAGGTTGGAATGGGGAGGACTGGCGTGGGGAGGATTGGGGAGGGGAAGAGTGCAGAGGAATGGGGAGGAGTGCAATTGGCTGTAATGGAGTAGGGAAGAATGAGGAAGAGAAGGATGGGTGCAGGGAAACAGAACGCACGCGCTATCTCACTGGCGGGAAGATCACATGCACGGGCAGCGACAAGTGACTGAGGACGAAGAGAAAATTGCCTTGTCTCAGTCACTCTGGCTGGCCGAACACGTTGGGGAGGAGCAAAGAATGACGGAGGACGGGGAAATGCGAATGCCCGCGCTGTCACGCCGGCTGCCGGTCGGAATACGTGCATCATGAATGAGGAACGTCGGAAGACGGAAAACAACCTGCCTTAAAACAAGATGCACGCGCTGTCACGCCCGATGGCGGAGCACTTCACTTGCAGGCGCAATCACTGCGGCATATATTGCGAATCCCCCAGGAATATGACAAATCCATGAAGATCAAGGCTGCTGTGGAGAGCCCTCACGAGCCACTGAGGAATCCTGACCAATCCTTTGGGCGTTCTCGCGAATCCCTTGGAAATGCCCACGAAGCACGAGGAAGTCCTCACGAATCCCAAGGCGAACCCTGACGAACCCTTACGGCAACCTCACGAATCCGTGAAGAAAACAGACGATGCTCGAATGAGGTCCTCACGAATCATTTAGGTATCCCCGCGAATCCCTGAGGACTCCTCACGAATCCCTGCGGAATCACAACAAATTCTTGAAGAGCCCCAAGGAACCCTCTCGAATCCACAAATACGTCGGACGAGTCACTTGAGCATTTTCGCGAGCTTCTCGGCTAGGGGCGCTGGAGGACGCGCAAGTCGCCTTGTACCTCCTGCGCCATTGCGCCTCCTTGCGCAAACTGGGTTTCAACGCGCGGGTGGTGCGTCCCACCGCGCTCTCGGCGCCTTTGCAGGCGATGGGTGACCCCCTCCTCCTCCTCCTCCTCCTCCTCCTCCTCCTCCTCCTCCTCCTATGATCCCCCTCCCTTCGTGGGCTTCTGGGAGGTCCAGCGGAGGCGGCTGTCAGCCGAGACCTCGCGGCTCACTGGAAGGCTGCCAACTGCGCGACTGTCGCCACTTTCGTGGGCTCCTGGGAGGTCCTGCGTAGGCGGTTGTCAGCCGAGACCTCGCGCCTCCCTGGAAGGCTGCCAACTGCGCGACTGTCGCCACAGTCATGGGTTCCTGGAAGGTCCAGCGGAGGCGGTTGACAGCCGAGACCTCGCGGCTCCATGGAGCGCTGCCAACTGCGCAACAGTCGCCACTTTTGTGGGCTCCTGGGAGGTCCAGCGGATGCGGGAGTCAGCCGAGACCTCGCGGTTCCCTGGGCTGCAAACTGTGCAACTGTCGTCACTTTCGTAAGTTCCTGGGAGGTCCTGCTCACGCTCGCCACTTTCGTGGAACTCCTGTAAGGTCCAGCGGAACAGATTATCCTCGCAACGAATTTCTTTGCGTTTGGGGCGTTCAAATGTTGTGGTCCCGCGGATCCGTGATTTGTTTACTCGACATGGGGGATGACTCAACCGCCACGACTTCAACGAACTAACGTAAATTCTATGTTCAATCATGCCGATCCTCCGACGGGAAAAATTGAGAAATGCTGGCAAGAAACAAAACTCCTCGCTGCCCGGGCACACATGCAATCTGTCCCGTAAAATCACCAGAACGTGCACCTTCCGAGCTGGAACACATGCCATCCCTCGGCCCGCATCGCGGGGGTTCAGACTGCCACTGGCTCCACCTGTGTGATAGGCCGTAATAAGAACTTTGCTGCCATCGGAACAACTCCCGTGTGATGTATACGATATGCACGTGGCCTCTGGGTCCCGACCTGTGGCGGTCTGTCTTCGAGGGCGTCGGCAAGTCAGAAGCAAACTGGACCAACTTAACCAAACCGAGCAAAATATTCCAGACTGAGTGGCTTCCAGCCGATGTATTACCAATTGTCACAACCCACACGTGACCTTCAAATCTCAAATGTTCTCGATCAATTCAGCGCAAGCTTTTCGGCAATCTGATCCGCGCGTTTGCTCACCATTCTGATCTCCCACTTCAACGATTCCACGTCGACACACGTAGCCGGTCCCCTCAGCCGCAAACACCCTTCAACAAACTGTTCGAGGTCGATTTGGCCCGAGTTTTGTCCGTCGAGAATTTTGAAGAGTTTCCATGTCTGTTTTGCGTCGACGTCTACAGCCTTGAACCACGCCTTCACCTTTGGCCTTGCCAGTTGAGCGTGCAACTCTGCTGCAGTGAGCCCGCTGCTTTCACTCTGATAATTGGGGTCGCAGTGCATCTCCTGGAAGAGCATCTTGAGGCGGTCAACATATGTTTGCTTCTCCTTGAGCTGGGCCTCAATGGTGAGGTCGAGATCTTGCTGAGCACCCTCGAATGCACTCTGACAGAATACACCTGTTACGTATGCGGGGATACACCGCTGAATGCACATGTGCTGCGACCACGACAATGATCAAACCATACAACACCCCATAGGTGCAATACAGTAATATTACAGACGTATACATGCACATAGGTATACACGTACATACAAACATAGCGGCATTAACCGAACAAACAGGGGCGATAAAGAGAGCGAGAAAGAGAGAGTGAGAGAGAGAGAGAACGATATACCTATACATATATCGGAGGTGAGGGGGTGAAATCGAAGTGGAACGGAGAGCCCCCTACCGGGAAATCGGTCTCGGTTTCGTGTTCGTGCGTGCCGTGCGTGCGGGCGAGGCGAAGCTACGTGGGCGGGCGAGAAATAAGTCTCCTGTAGCTGAGGCGCGGCCGGACCAAATGATTCTCCCCCGGGCGGCCGGTGGCGCGCGGTGTCCCGCCGGTGTCCCGCTCGGTGTCCCGATGATGATGATGATGATGATGATGATGATGTTGATGATGTTGATGATGTTGACGGTGATGATGATGTTGATGATGATGGTGATGGTGGTGATGATGGTGTCCCGGCGATGATGATGATGATGCTGATAATGATGATGATGATGGTGTTGACGATGTTGATGATGATGATGGTGATGGTGGTAATGATGATGGTGCATCAATGATGACGATGTTGATGATGGTGATGTTGATGATGATGATGGTGGGCCGATTATGATGATGGTGATGATGATGATGGTGATTGCGATGATAACCATAGGATTCGATGATGATGATGATGAAGATGATGACGATGATGATGATGGTGCCCCGATGATGATGAGGTTGATGATTATGTTGTTGATGATGGAGATGATGATGATGATGCTGATGTCGATGATGATGAGGGTGCCCCGATGATGATGGTGACGATGATGGTGGCCCGATGAGGATGATGATGTTGATGATGATGATTATGATGATGGTGGCCCAATGATGATGATGTTGATGATGATGGTGTCCCGATGATGTTGATGTTGATGTTGATGATGATGAAGGTGGTGATGATGATGATGGTGTCGATGATGATGGTGTTCCGATGATGATGATGATGCTGCTGATGTTGATGATGATGATGTTGCTGATGATGATGTTGTCCCGATGATGATGGTGATGATGTTGTTCATGATCATGATTATGAGGTGGTGATGATGATGGTGGTGTTCCGATGATGATGATGATGGTGTCCCGATGATGATGATGATGATGATGATGATGATTTTGTCCCCCGCAAGACCACGCTTCGCCTTCAGTCCCATCCGTAAAGCACCCTGGGAGGGCTGTCATCGAGGTGATACCGTTCAACTGGCCCATGCTCACGGCGAACGGTAGAGACAGGAGCAGGACGACCAAGAGTACGCCGAAAGGCGGCCTCCTCATCAGAAATACCTATCACCCGCCGAAGCTGTCGAAGCCGCTCCAGTTCCGAGGCCGAAACACGTTTGTGCCCAGACGGTGTGAGCGAAGAGGCCGAAGAGTCCGCACGAAGGCCATCAGGAAGGTGAACAGATTGGGGCACGCCATCTCCAGGAATGTGCGCAGTATGACGGTGCTCAGAACGGACAGCATCACCATGAAGATCCTGCCCAGGCTCTTCAGGAACATTGGAGCAAACATGATGGACACTCCGAATCCCCACATCTCCAGGAAGAGCCCCAACCAGCATGCCACGTTCTGAGGGTAGCAGAGGATCATCACGGGGAGGAATAGCAAAAACACGGTCAATACTCTCGCCAAGCTTCTCCACCATCGAATCAAACATCCGCTGAACACCAGTGAGATCCATCTCGCCAGGAACGACTTCCGCAGAACGGTCGGCAAGTACAACGACCTCCCCCGTATCAACACGGTCAGCTCCATCAGGCATGGCAGAACTAGGAGTAGGCCCAATACAAACGGCACGACCAACCCCCTCATAGAAGTCATCACGTAAACGCCCACCGAGAGGATCATCACGCTCCTGATCGGACCAACCAGGCGCATGAAGGAGTACGGCACGCTCGTCAGGAAGACCAGGGAAGTGTTCACAAGGAGGATCAGCCTCAGGATGGACACGAAGATCAGGCTGACCACGAACACCAAGCTCCACACGAAACTCAGGCTCAGCACGAGGACCTGGCTCCCGAAAAACAAGCTCCAGACCCGAACGATCAGGCTCAGGGGCGCCGGCACAATCACCATGAAGATCATGAGGAAAATCAGGAAACTCAGCAGGAAACCCAGGACCACGAAGCACATGCTCCCCAGGAAGATCTGGCATCCAACGAAAACAAGAAGGATCACGAAGAACAGGCTCCACACGGAAACCAGGCTCAACATGGCGATCATGCTCGACATCGAGGCAACGGAGTAGGGCACGCCCCACACGAAGAACAGGCTCCATATGAAGATCATGCTCCGCACGACGATCAGGCTGAGCACGAAGAACAGGCTCCACACTAAGAGCAGGCTCCGGAAGGACGTTCTCCAAAAACGAACGACCATGCTCTGGAAAAATTTCAGCACGCTTCCCATGAAGACAACAGGAAGCAACTTCAAAGAGATCGTCAGAAGCAGCATGCCCAATCTCATACTCCGGAGCCCCAGCAGCCTCAAAGCACCAGGCAAGAACCTCGTCCGAGTACAGCAGGGGGAGCCCAGGAACGAACTCCTCTGCAGCAGCACGCAGAGATGAGGAGCGCCTCGCAGTACCCTCAGTGGTAGGCCGCCAACGTTGATGCCGGGCAGCATTGGCATGGCGCACAACACGTTCCACTTCATACAGTACCGCTCCTTTGAAAATGCCGCGATCTGCCGCCCAACGCACCATGTCATGAAGAGAACGTCGGTGAGGAGCGCCGTGAAGGACTTCGAGACCGTACTGTAGAAATACCCCTCTCCGTAAAGCTTGGCCCCGCCGATGGACACGGTCATGAGGGGCACGGTAAGGAACAACACCACGCTGGCAATCCCGTAGACGCATGATCGACTCGCAAGCGTCGTGAAACTCAGCACAAGTCCGAGCCGATATGCGGGCTCGCCGCCCATGAATGCGCAGAGCTCCCAGGGACTGATTGAGGGACATCTGCACACGTTGTCGAAAAGAACACCGAAGGTATGAAGACAGAGAAAAACACGTAGCTCGAATCCGCAAGAAGACAGGATATGACCATGGGGGTAGGCCGCAGGCAGCAGAAGGGTAGAAGGGGCCGAGGAAGGCGAGATTGGCTCTTGAGCCAAAATGGCTACGGATCCCGATGATGATGATGATGATGATGATGATGATGATGTTGATGATGATGGTGATGATGATGGTGATGATAATGGTGTCCCGATGATGATGATGGTGATGGTGATGATGATGATGGCGATGAGGTGATGATGATGATGATGATGGTGATGATGGTGTCCCGATGATGCTGATGATGTTGATGACGTTGATGATGACGATGATGTTGATGATGATGACGATGATGATGACGTTGATTGTGATATCGATTGTGATATCGATAGTGAGATCGATAGTAAGACCGAATGTGAGATCGATTGTGAGATCGATAGTGAGAGCGATTGTGAGATCGATCGCCAGATCGATTGTGAGATCGATCGACTGAAATAGATCGAGTGAGATCGATTGTGAGATCGATCGAGTGAGATCGATCGAGCGAGACCGATAGTGAGATCGATAGTGAGATCGATGGTGAGACCGATCGAGTGAGACGTTGGTTCCTCCCCCCCCGAACCTCCTTATCACCCGAAGGGTGATCGAATAGGTATAGATATATGCATGCGTGGACGCACTTATTTAACAAATCAATGGCACGATACGCTGTGTCTACACCAGCGAAGATCAGTACACACGATATGAACCGATAGGGTGTAGAGTCTATGAAAAGGCGCATTCGCCGACCGCATTTGGGACATCAAAGCGTGTGAAATGATTCCCCCCTTCTGCGATCCCTCTCTGGCTGGGGGCGAATGGCACAACTCCCCAAAATAACCGTTCTCCCACGTAAGACCAGGTGTAGAGTGGTTCACGGGAAGGGGCGGGCCTGGCCCCAGCTCTACCGGCCCATTCCCACCCGGCGCCAGGCGGGGAATGGCTCGTGAGAGGGGCGTACACCCTGCGAAATGGTTAAGAAATCATGGGTTAAGAAATTCATAGTCTCAGAACTTGAATAAAAACCCAACATTTCTATTAAGATCTTGGGATTTACGTTGAAACATTAAGAATAATCGAGACCCTGGCCGAAAACGTAGGTTTTCTTAAGCATCGCCTAAGGTGTACGGTTCTAACCGAGATGCTGTTTCCCATCCGGGGCCGGGGGGAAGGAGGGGGGCGCCGGGGGGCGCCCACTTCACTCCAGGGTCTCCCGCTTCTCGCTCTGCTCCTGATTTTGGGCCAGGTGGGGAACCGTTCACTGGAGGGGGTGCGCCTGGTCCACCCCGAGATTATCCGTTTCCCCCCTGGCTGGGTGGGGGGTCGCGGGAGGGGTGGCACCCAATTCACCCCGAGATTCGCCTTATCCCGACAGGGGCCAGATGAGCGACGAACAGAAAAATGCATTACGCGAGAAGACAACACGACCATACGCCGCGGATCACGCGGACGGCCAACACGGAATGCCACATACGGCACGAGGGCGCGAAATGGCGACTACGACCATGGCGACGAGGAAATGAAAGACGAATGTGTCGGTGGCGATGGCAATTTAAGGTCCGCTGACGACAATGGCGATGAGGAGTGACGAGGTCGCCAGCGTCGCGATGACGACGGCGGGAGCGATATCGGATGGCGGCAGTCGCAAGTAGAAGGCGGCTGACGACGACGATGAAGGGATGGCGCGGGCCATCCGCCACCCGTAAAATCAAAGAGAACCGCGCGGACCTATTTAGCGGGCAGAGTCGGAAGTTCCCGGGCGGCTGGGGGAGGCACCCACCCTTTGTAGTGTTGCAGTATCCGCCACCTGGCCTCGAGGCACCAAATGTGGAGTGTTCTTCGAGAATTCTTTGTATCTGTATCCGATGTGGAAGTTATTTCGAACTAGGGGCGCACACCCCAATACCTCACATCGTTTGGGCGCTCTTGCGCGTTCCCAAGCTTCCCCGCGTGATTTTTCCAGAGGCCCGGGGGCTCCTTCTGACGGGCTAATGGGGCCCCAAGATGTACCCAAGAAGGCCCAAGAGGCATCTCAGACAGCCCGACATCGCATCAAGACGCCAAAGATGGCTCCAAGGCGGTCCCAGAGGCCCCCAGGACGGCCCGAGATGGCCCCGAGATTCCAACAACATTGATTGGGAGGACTTGAATGCTCTCGCCTTTTCTGGCTTCCGACTTTCCAAGGTGACCTGAAAGGCCCCTCGCAGCGCCTTCAGACGGCCCATTGTGGCACCAGAAACCAGGACTCCCCAAAAGGCCCACAGGACGGCCCAATAGAGCCTCAAGAAAGGACCAAGATGAGGCCCTGGAGGGGGAACGCGAACCGACATTCCGAACCTTTCGTCCGAAGATGGCCCGCGAGACCGCCAGCAGGCCCCCAAGAAGCCCCCGCAAGTCCCAGGAGGCTCCGGAGAGGCCCAGATCAGGCCCCCAGAGGCCCCATGAAACCCCCGATACACCCCAAGACCGTCACCGAGCTGATTCTGGGAGACCTCCCCAAAGATCACCAAATGCATCCCGCAGGTCTCTGACATACAACCCGGGCACGGTGGCGGGATGGGCCGAAAGATGATAATTACAATTATAGGAAGCCATGGTCAAACATGTAGACCCTCATTATGGCTTCTGATAAAACAAACAGTTGTCGGTGGTCTCCTCAGAATTTCCGGCGATTTCCTTGAGGTCTCGGGCGGTATACATTGCTTTCTTTCTGCGTGTGTCGCCTAATCGGCATCAGAACAATTACTATCGCTCGATTTTCCCCGACTAACCACAAGGCATCCGCCAGAATTATCACCGGACCCCTGGCGATTGTCGCAAGTCCCCGCGCGTTCATCGATGTGTAAGGCGATTGCCCTGAACAATGTAACTTCATGTTTAACGGCATCTGCACCGCTGCTACCCCAACCGTCATCCTCATCATCACAAGCATGCATTCATCCCTGCAGGCACTCTATTCGCCAGTGTGGCGACCACCACGCTACGCCCTACTAGCCTAAAGGCGCAACAGAAATCGGAAGCAGAATCTGAAGAGGTTCCAACGAGGCCTGCAGAGGCTTCCAAGAGGCTCCCCCCCCGAGGCTTTCAACATAAACCGACAGTCCCCGAATCATGACCAAAAACAAAAACCTTCAAAAACTCTCGTTGGGCGATGGGTTTCCGGAAACTTTCAGATGGCGTTCACGACGGCTACACGGAGGTTCAATTTGGAACATCACTCACGTTCGCGCACGTCGTGCCGCATGTGTACCTTGAAGTTCTTAACCTGCCTCCGAAAAAACTACAGAACACCCCCCCACCACACCACTCAGACGTTTTCAGATTCTCGAGCTTTGGTTCCTCATTGGGGCCCGCCGAAACTCCAGTTCCACGGGCTTCGAGGAGGGGGCGGCGGATGTGGCGCAAGCCTGTTGAATCAAACGGGAACAAACTGTCTTAGATGATTCATATACGGTAATGGCGGGGGGCTTACAGGCCGGTGCTGCTGCTCACGCGGGGTCATTACTGCCCGCAAGGCGGAGGAACGCGATTTCATGTGAGTCACATAGCGAGGCTAACTCAACAAACGAAATTGATCGCACATGCAACTATGTATACAGCTAGTGTGAATATCAATAATACTATGATTACACCTTGTGGTTATCGATCAGTGTGGTAGTCATATGGTATACCACAAAATATGCAAATCCCATGCTCAAAACCAATATTGGTACTTGATACTTGTATCCCCGGTTACCTGTTACAACATTGAGTACGAAGACGTACACGAAGATGACGTATAGCAGGAACACTACCATCCACACGGGGCTACCAATTCTTTGGAGCGGCAAGGCCACCTCGATCCAGCTGATACCCCCCGACACAGCCATCCACAGACTTAACATTGATCGGTACAAATCCCCATAATAAGCTATGAGCGCCTCGTCGTCGATGCGTTTGCCGCCGTCTGTGTGCTCCATTACAGCCAATGTCAAGACGACTCCGAAGGCGTATACGATCATCAGGAGCAGCACGAGCGCCCAAAAAACAGTTCTGCCAGCGAAAACTATGGAATGCACCAGCATACGGAGGGGCTTCAGCTGGCGAAATGTTCGGACAAGACGTAGAAGCCGAGTGAGGCGAAATAGACGCAGGATCTTCGCAGTTCCACCATTCTCGAAGAGTTCAAGCCTCTTGCCTGCAATACTCTGAACGATAAGCTCCAGAGCAACCTCGCTGAGCGCACAAAGCAGAACTATCATCCGCTACCGTACCTTGTGCACGTTGAGACGTGCTAAAATGCTCCTATGCACTGTGGTGAATGATGTTATTTCGTGTTTCCCAAGACCCCATCCCAGCCCCGCACGCGCCACGCAACAATCAGACACACACGCACCTCTAGATCCGCTGTGTAGAGATTGTGAGAGAGGCTTGCTTTGGCCGAGATAAAGGCTCTGACCGAAGGGTGGGGGTGGGGCAAACAAGCAAAACAAAAACTCCAGCCGACGGACTCAACCAGATGCAGCTGCGAATATCGCCAGGCAAATGAGGCGAAGGAGGGAGGGGGGAAAGAAACATAAGGGATATGCCCAAAGTGGCGCGGTGGCGCCATGCGAAACCACCCACCGGGAACGTCGGTGGAAATTCAAAGAACGCCACGAAATCCGTGAGGGGTGTGTCGACATGGGCGCGGTGGCGCGATGCGAGCCCTCCTGCTCGGTCTCTCGGTGGAGTGCTCGAAAAGGCATCGGAACGTGTGAAAGGGCGTTCCGAAGTACGTATGGCCGTGGCACGCGGGCCTTCCCATTGGGGCCTTCTGTGGAACACCCTACTGGCCCGAAACGTCTTATGGGGTGTGCTGACATGGCGGCGGCGGCAATGCCATGCGGGCCATTTCCAGTGGGGCCTGCAATGGAGCTCCATATGCGGCCACGAAGCCTGTGAGTGTGTGCCGAAATGGATGAGGCGGTGGCATGCGGGTCCTCCAGCTGAAGCCTTCGGTGAAGCCCCCTTACGGGGCCACGCGACGTGTGAAGGGTATGCATACATGCGTGCGACGGTAGCATGCGGGCTCTCGTACTTGTGCCCTCGGCTGAATTTCTTGATTTGCCACGAAATGTGTGAGGAATACCCGTGGGGATGGTCGCGATGACATTGCTGATGGTGTGAAGTATGATGACGATGTTGATGATGATGATGGTGATGTGGAAGACGCCGGCGACACCGACGATGTTGATGCGAATGCTGATACTGATGACGGTGATGGTGATGATGACCGTGCTGACGACGCTGCTATTGATAACGAGGATGGTGATGATAATGATCCTGAAGGCGAAAATTTCATTTGTAGTGTACAGATCGGCATGAATGTTGGTGATGGTGCGGATGCTAAGGCTGGCAACGACAGAAGCAATGCTTACCATGAGGATGATGGTGGTGGTGATGGTGGCGACAATGCTGATGACGATGACGGTGGTACTGACGATGGCGACCATGATTGTTATGAAGGTGGTGCGAATGATGATGACGGTGTTGGTGATGATGACGATGAAGCTGATGATGGTGGTGATGATGGCGGTGGCGATGGTGATGCGGCTGGTGATGCTGGTGATGATGCTAACGCGGACGATGATGAAGTACAGGATGATGATGATGATGATGGTGAAGGCGCGGATAATGACTGTGGTAATGGCAGTGGGAGTGGTGCGGTGGTGATGACGACAACGATGACGACGCTGTCGCCGACGACGATGACGATGACGAGATGGGAGCGGGGGAGGAGGAAGGAGGAGAAGACGCGGGGCGCTTCTGACTCAAAGCGACGACAGATGACACATTGATCGGGAATCAAACCTGTGGCTTGCCGATCTAACGTCATGTTAGCCACGCGTGCACTTGTACGAAAGGGCTGTTCTGCTTGATGACCTTTTTCGTCGAATAGCTCACGGCTCACGACAGAAGAACCTCCCGCTGCGAACTGGTAAGTACATGGCTGGGTAAGTCCGTTAGGCGGAGCTACTCCAAAACAAAAGATGCCGCGCGGGCGCGCGCGCGCGTGCGCAGCCTGCCCGCGCGGCCGGCCGGCGCGCGCTGTGTTTTTTGAGTAACTATTCACAGCTGCAGAGACAGCCCCTCCGCATGACTCATGGTTTACCAACGCTCTGCAAGGGAAAAGACTGGAGGGCTGCTGGAACGGGCGAAAAGAGTGTCAGCAATGACCCCCGCCGCGGCAACCGGGCCCGACGCTGTCGCGCCAGGGCGGACGTCAGCACGTTGACTAACGCCCCAAGCATAACACTGAACAGCCTTCAGCAAATTCCGAGAACGTCGGACAGACCTCACCCCCCCCCCAGGGCCGCTCCGGCCCCCCACCGCGCCAACCCCCAAAAGCCTTTTCACGGCGCAGGTGGCAGGGGGTGGAGCGCTTCTGTCACTGCTCCGTAGGACAAGTCGAGGGCCCCCCGACAAGTCCCACCCCCGAGTAGCAGCAGAGGCGTGCGCCGCCCAGCCGTCGACCTAGTTGGCCGCCTGCCTGTCAACGTCCTCGTTGCGCGCCTGCGGTTCATATCCGCGCTCTGCGGCGAACGGGGCAGACTCAGACACCGTCTCAGCCTCACGCCCATGCCCGCCGCCCGAGCGACTGATCGTCCACCGCCGATCGCCGCGGCGACCGTCGCGACCGGCATCCCGGACCCAGACGCCGCGCGAAGCCCGCCATTCAATCCAGATCGAAAAGGGCGACGAGGATGTCCAGCGACCAGCTGCATCTGCGCGCCAGGGGGCTTGCGAAGACGTTGCTTCGTCCTGCCACCACTGGCCGTAGTCGCGATGCCATGGGTAGGCGACTCTGTCGCAGTCGCCTCGGATGCCTGCGTTATCGGCGTAGGCGGCGCGGGCGTCAGCCTCGGGGCGACGTCGCCAGCCCGATCTCGGCTGGATGGCTCGACCCTCTGCCATGGGGGCCCCCGCGCCCGAAGGCGCGCGGTGGGAGGCTTGGCCAGGTGGGACGCGACATCACTGCCGCTGCGTCTCTGAGCGCGAGATGTCTCACCACTGCGTTCATCGGCCCTCGCTCTCATGCGCTTGCACCCCCGCCTCGGCGGTGGAGTTTGCCCGCGACGGTTGCCTCCATGAGAGGTGGGTCCAGCGCCCGCGGCAGACTCGCCAGGACGATCATCTCCTTCATCTTCTGCACCTTTGTCGTCTTAATCGATTGGCTCGAGCGGCCCTCATTTGTCCTTATGGGCACTCGAGTGTACGAAGACGATGTTCCTGACACTCTCCCCGCCGCCAAGCCCCCCATCCACGCGATGGTTCGAGCGCCTCTCTATCGGACATCCTAAGGTTGTCCCACAGGAACTGTTCCAAACGACCGACATGCTGCCCACTGGCCCACGCGCGGCAACTCAGAAACGGCCGCCGGGCTTCAACAGGGACAAACGCCGTCGATCCAACGGCTGTCGTCCCCATGTGCTTCTGAATGTTGACCCAGCGCTGACCCAACAAACGAGCCTTGTTCTGAAATCACGCATGGGCCTGAGCTGGCGTCGTGTCCTGACGAACCGCCACGCAAGCGCAGTCATGCGCTGAAATAGTGCAGTCTTGCCTGGGAGAGCCAGCTTATATCGGTACTTAGTCATCTCTGGATCTCCCCACTTTTGTTCGGACTTGGATATGTCTCGTCAGTGGCGCGGCCTCGTGTATATGTTGAGGGCCTCGCAATCGACGCAAGAACGCTGTTCCCGGCGTCAGGGTCTATATCCTCGCCTAAGAACTTCCTCAGACCAGGCGTCTCGCACGGAATCTCAAGGCGAATCGCGCACGGGGTTCCGAGTTTTGGCTCGCGCACTATCGGCTGCGTGCACTGCAAACAGCTGATCACGCCCAGGCGCTTGCGACGCGCCTCGGGGCGCGCAAGTAGCCGCCCTCCCAAGGCGGAGGCGAAGCCATCTTTCGCATATAATCGCTCGAAGCAAACTGGGTCGTCTAAGTCCCCAAACATGATGGTTTCTTCCTTTTGTTTACGGTGCTACTAGATTCCTGTAATGTACTGATCCAGACTCCACCAGAACGCCGGTCGAACACCGCCGCCCACGACGCCGCCGGGGCGGGCGTGACGCGGCCATCCGCATTAGCTGGCGAATAGCATCGCATCGCGGACGAAACTCTGTCGCCAAGGAGCCATCAAGCATGATCCAACATATCGCGTGTGGGCGAAGCCAGCGCGGGAACTGCCCTGATTGGCCAATGCAGTCGCGAGCTTTATCTAGCTGTGCCAAGCTGATTCCACCATGCGCGTTGTCCTCAGCCGTCTCTACGACCAGGTCGACCGGTCTCGCAAGGTCGTTCAGCTTGGCAAGAATCGCTGACATGTAACGATAAGGGCCGTTTTCCAATGACGTCGGTCTCTGGCGGTTGATTGCAAGACGCTCGGCGCAGTGAGCGGGGATATCATCGCCGTTGGCGCATCCCTGCCCGTTGGTTGGCGCCGAAGGTATATGCGATCGGGATGGACCGCCCTCGCTGAGTGCCCCTGCGACGCACGAAAGACAACGGGTTTCGCGTCGGGAGGCCCACAACCTGCCCCGTGTAATGCGCCTCCGTCACATGGCAATGCCCGCCCGTAACATTCTTTCCAATGGTCCGGGCATCCCACCGCTGGCTCGTCACTCCACCAGCAAGACCCCCAGTACTCGCGCCGACTTCTCCGGCAGGGTACTAAAGACGCGCATCAACTGGGACCAAAGGCGGTCAAAACCCTCGTTCAGCACCATGTCATCAACCCGCGTCATTTCGACCCATCCACCAGAGCTGAGGACATCGGCAGCGCTATGTTTTGCAATTCCCAAGATCAAAGATCCCAGCCTCGTAGACTCTACCTCGTTACTTCCGATGAAGTACGCGCGCAGCAATGGTCCGCCGATGATTGCGCGGGCTTGTCGGGGGATCGAGTCTCAATCGAGCCATGCCGCGATCGGAGAAACGCGTCTGCACCCTTTCGCAGCTCCGCGCTTCAATCCCGAAGCAGCTCCAACACTGAGCCCCCAGAGATGCCACCCGCGCCACCCCTGTCCAAGAATGGTATCCGTCGTGGACTGTCAGGGAACGGGCCAGCATAATGCGCTGACTCGATCTTCCTCGAGGGGCTGTCACCGGGGACAATCCTTTGGAGCCGCCGTGACTCCCGACGCAGCCGCCGAATTCCGATGGAGTTGCGCGGCAACTGGTGAAAAGAATGCATCGCTGGGCGCGCAGGCCCTCCTGCAGAGCCCCATGGCGAGCATCCACGTTGAACCGCAAATCGCCGCGACCGACGCCATCATCACCGCCAAGACCACAGGAAAGCATACGTTACAATCATCATCGCGCTTAGGGCACGTCAGCCTGGGTCGCTGCGCATCGACTCCTTGCCGCAGCCGAGCGCCGCGAGCTCCCAGCAGCATTCGTCGACAGCTCTCAATGGCAATGCCGCCGAAATCGCCCTTGAAAGGGCCGCCAGGAGGGCCGTCGAAAGGGTTGCAGACATCGCCGCCGAAATCGCCGCTGAATTTGCCGCCGCAATCGCCGCCGAAGTCGCCGCCGAAATTGCGGCCGAAATTGCCGCCGAACGCGCCGCCGAAGTTGCCGCAGCAATTGCGAACTCCGCCATGGCAGCCGCCGAAATTCAGCCGCCGAAATTTCCATTGTCTTGTCCCACACGAACACGCCGTTTCATGAGGCGCGACGACGCCGCTGACACAGGCATACAATCACAGCCGGATTCAAATTCGGTATGTTTTCGCGGCGCATTCTGGAATTGCGACGGAAACTTCGGCGGCAATTCCGGCGGCGATATTGGCGGCAATTTCGGCGGCGATTTCGGCGGCGGCGCGGTCCCCGAAGTCGCTCGCGCAGCGCTGGCAGTCGTGAAATGCATCCTGCGAACAGAGAAAACGCAACAACAAGCCAGTGCCTGCTGCGAAGCGAACAGGCGGGCACGCTACCTCGCGGGGGCCCGGGGCCCCGCCAAGCGCACTATCGGACGCAGCCGACTTGTTATCTGATGCGTTCTCTCTCAAATTGCTCTGGATATGTTGTTCAGACAATTCACGAAGCTGCGCCTCGCGTCGGGCTTCCCATTGCTTGAGCGCCTGCGTCGCAACCCCTTCCGCTCTGCGGGGCGCGGCGCCCAATTTGGCAGTGGCTTCCGGTTCCACCGTCTGAGACCTTAGCGAATCTTCTTCAGCCTCGGCAACCGCGAGCGCAGATGCGGCGTTGGAATCCCAAGCGATGGCGCGCTCCCTATCGAGAATCATAGACTTCGCCTCGGGCTTCACGCAGCAAAACTGCGCTCTCGTCGTCCACTGTGCGTTTAGCTGCTTCGCAGCGGCCCTATTCTTGACGGCCGCTTCTTGAAACTCAACGTTGGCCTCCGACGTCAATTCTGCGTCGCGCGCTGCGGCGGCCTTGAGATCGGCGGCAAGCTGACCCAACGCCGTCGATTGACATTGGCCGGCCCCCCGGACAGCAATAACGGCTTTCCAACGACAGCCTCCTCGGTGGCGCGCGCCTGCATCTCAGCCGCCTCAATTGTCTCGAGTCGGCACGGCACATCCTGTATCTCGATATAACTCTTCCGATTCTTTCAGCCATGGCTGGGCGCTGGCGTTCCATATTGCGCCCCCGAGCCCGGGCCGCAGCCCGGCGCTCTTTCTCAATTTGTAGCCTGGCCGCCGCCATCTGCTGAAATTCCGCAGCTCTGCCCTGTTCCTGCGCGCGCGCCACTTCCATTTCCCGATCCTCCATCGGGATGGCGCGTTTCTGTTCTCGCGCTGCCTCCCGTTCTCGGCGACGGAGGGCCGTGCAATTATGCGCGGTGGGAACCTGGCAGCCAGGCGCAGGAAGCTCAAGTTGCATTCGAATTAGCTCACTGGTCGCGCCGAAAGGTCGGGCTTTTTGCAATTGCCAAGCATTCTCCGACATCTGAACTCTGGGACGTCGGCGCAGACGACTCCTTTGTGGAAGCATTCGTCGAGTATTAGGTAGCTCGAGTCGTTCGAGCGATCGGCGCCTGCCAGGCGCGATGATGCTCGCGATGTCGCTCGGGGCTCTCGCCATCTCGCGGACACCCAAAGTCGAATCCTCGGCAAACGGGCCCTGAAGATGGAATTCCTGGTCGGGCGAGCCTCTAACCGCCTCGGGTGAAGAGGCGAAGAGGGCGTTGCGCGAATTGAATATCGCTTTTCAGCCACCCCTGAATATGATGTTCGCGATTCTCCTGGCGGGCTCACTGTTTTCGACCGTTTGCTCACTGGTGACCTCGACAAATTGATGACGTCTCTGGGTCGCTTCGCCGTCGACGCTCTTGGAATGTCCCGAGGGAACGGATCATCACGGGGACTTTCAGTAGCGTCGAGTTCTGAACTGGGCAAGATTTCATAGTCCTGACGGAACGGGTCGACCAAACCATCAGTTTGACGATGACTCTCCTCATCGCGTGTTTCGCTGTCAGCAACATGTGTAAACGAAACAGACTCTGGGTCGTCGCCCTCCCATGATATATTGATATATGAAATACCCAGTCCTTTGTTACAAGCATCTTCCGGCCTAAGCGCATGCGGTCGCACTGGGGAGCTTTCGCCACTGGACGCAGAGACAGTAGCGTCGACGCTCGCATTCTGCGATAAGCGTAGTGTCGGATCCGTGACATCGTCAGGACCTTTGACAACGATTTGTGCCGCTTCTTTAAAGCCGCGTGGACGGTCTGATGTGCCAACAACACCCTCATCAGTTTCCGAAGGGAATGCCTCCTGACATCGTAGAAGAACTTTCGGTTGATGACATGTGTTTTGCCTACTTAACGTCATGGTAGGCAAACGTGTCTCGGTATTAAAAGGCTGGTATGGTTGATTCTGTTATTCTTGTAGTAGCTTTCCAGAAACGAACCTCCCAGGAAGAACTGGTGAATACATGGCTGGGTAAGTTCGTTAAGGTGGTGTGTCTGTGTATGCGTGCGTGTCCTGCCCGCCTGGCTGGCCGGCGCGCGCTTTTGCTGGAGTAACTATTCGCAGCTGCGGAGACAGCCCCCCCGAATGACCCATGCCCTACCAACACGCTGCAAAGGGAAAGAGTGGAGGGCTGCAAGAATGGGAGAATTGAGTGTTACTAATGACTTAAACACTCAGAACTACCAAACAGTACCAAACAGCCACAACAACCCATCAATGCGACACTACCTCCGTATGCTCCAAAGAGGGGCCCAAGGTGGCTCCCAAGACGGCCCGAGAGGCCCACGAGAGCAACACACGATGTTCTCAACCATCCTGTGGTGCTGGGTCTTCGTTTTGAAAGCTGAACGCCCCGCGTTCCTCACTTCTCACTGCTCCTTCCTCCTACCCCCATTCCTGCTTCTGCCCTCCGCATGTCCATGTCGGCACGCACCTCGCACGCTTCGTGGCCTCATAGGGAAGTCCTCTGAGGGCCCCAGGTGGCTGCGCTCGCATGGCACCAGCACCGAGCCCAGTTCGGCACACCCGTCAAACGCTTCGTAGCCTCCGTAGGGAGCTCCACCGAACACCTCAATGGCTGCGCTCGCATAGCACCACCGCGCCAAGCCTGGTACACCGGTCACACGTTTCGTGGGCCCATAGGAGCTCCACCGAAAGCCCCAATGGCTGCGCTCGCATGGCACCACCGCTGCCGTTTCGGCGCACTTCTCACACGCTTCGTGGCCCCATGGGGAGCTTCACAAAAGATCCCAATGGCTGCGCTCGCACGGCACCATCCCACCCCACCCATTCTGGCACACCCCTCACACGTTGCCCCATGGGAAACTCCACCGAAGGCCCTACAGGCTGCGCTTGCATCGCAACACCGCGCCCACTTTGGCACACACTTCATATGCTTCGTGGCCCCATGGGGACCTCCACCGAAAGCCCAAGTGGCAGCGCCCGCATTGCACCACCGCGCCCAAGTCGGCACGCCCTTCACACGTTTATTGACCCATACGGAGCTCCACCTAAGGCCCCAGTGGCAACGCCCGAATGGCACCAACGCAATCGTTTTGGCACACCACTCGCACGCTTCGTGGCCCCATCGGTGGCTTGACCGAAGGCTCCAAAGGCAGCACCCGCATGCCACCGCCTCATCCATGTCGGCACACCAATCACACGTTTCGTTGCCCCAAAGGGCTCCACCAAAAGCGGTCGGTGGCCACAACGCGGTACTCACAATTGCATGGGTCTTTCGCCAGGATAGTTTGTACGTAGGGTCTTGGCAGATTTGACATACTGGCCCCTGATGGCTTCCAACCGCCCAAGACGGCCCCAAAGGCCCCCAAGATGGGTTCCAAGGCGGCCCCACAGGGTTCCAAGAGGGAACAAAAACGGCCCAGGGCGGAAGACGCCAAGATGTCCTCAAGCCAACTCCAGGGGCCCCAAGACACCCGGTATGCCCCCAGGATGGCCCACGACGCCTCCAAGAAGACCCCAATGGAGGCCAAGCACGGGGCAACGAAGCTGGCCTTGACAGCCTCCTCCTAAAAAGAATGTCCTCCAAGACCCCCAGCCTGCCCCCAAGAGGCCCAGGGGGCCCCGCGCCGACCCCGAGAGGCCCGAGACCCACAAGAGGCCTCCCAAAGGCACCCCGAACAACAGACAACCGAAGTTGTCCCTACGCTCCGAATAGTCGTCTTCAGCTCAACTCTGACTCTGCACTGCTGCAGTGGCGGGGCTTGCAGCAGCACGCAGAAAATCAAAGCAATTCCACATTCTCTCATGGACGAAGAAGTCAAGTCTGTACACGTAGATTCGCGCCGCCATCTCCAACATGAACAGGAAAGTGATAACGTAATTCGTCGTCGCCATGGCAATCAACACCTTCTCCGAGCTTGACCCTTCGCGGGACAGGGAAGACAAAAGCTGGGCCTCGATGCCGATGGTCAGGGTGCTCGCGATAACCACACAGGCGATTGTCACGGTGAAGTAGCTGCTGTTCACCCACGACGCGAGAGAGCACCTCTCGGGTTCTGGGACGCTGGCACGCAAGTCTCGAGACGACTTGCGCACGAGGCCGTCGAACTTTGACCTGAGCCTCCACGATGCGGAAGGCTCGGCTTCCGTGCCACCGTCCGTGCCAGCACTCGTCCTGGAGGAGCGCGTGCTCGGCCTCAGCGCCCCTGCGGCCGCGGCGCGCTGGGACGAGGCCTGCGAGCCACGCTGCCGGTCGCGCTCGCCGTCGCCGCCCGGGCTGGCCGACTCACAGTCCTGGAGGAACCGGGCACGGCACGAGCACGTGAACCACACGCGCGGACTTCTCGGAGCGGCGCTGAAACACTCGGGCGGCGCACCCCGCACCGTCCAAGGCGCGCGCCACGCGCCAGGGAGGGGGGCACAGCGCCGATCCAAGAAAATGCGCGCCGACCTCCGAGAGTTTGTGGGGAAACACAGAGGTCCAAATCCGCTACTCCCCCGACCTCTCCTGGGGTGCGTTCTGACCAGAATTTCGATGCGAGTCCAGCCGTGACGACCAGGGCATAACCCTCCTAATCAACATCCATCTTGGACCTCCGCATTCTCTCAACACCCCCCGCGGCGATCTAAGCACCGGTATCTTTTCCTCCTGTCATGTGATCTCCATGCAGCTAGTTGCTCTTTTGGGGAACCCGCAAAAATCGCACGCGCCCAACTACGTGCATCAATACGGCCCCCCCAGTCCGCCAGACCAGCCTCGTGATACGAACGTTCGCGCAATGCGTACACCACGCGAAATGCTTAAGAAATCATGGGTTAAGAAATTCATGGTCTCAGAACTTGAATAAAAACCCAACATTTCTATGACAATCTTAGGATTTACATTGAAACGTTAAGAATAATCGAGACTCTGGCCGAAAACTTAGGTTTTCTTAAGAATCGCCTAAGGTGTAATACGGCCCCCCCAGTCCGCCAGACCAGCCTCGTGATACGAACGTTCGCGCAATGCGTACTTTCGAAACCAACGTGAGCGGCAAGCACAAAACTTGTCTTACGCGAGATGGCATCGCGACCTTACGCGGTGGCTTACCCAGGCCCAGGCCGCCGGCGTGGCATGCGAGCTTACGCGGGAATGTCGGCGAATAATCATTTATGCGTACCAGGAGAGCCCAGAATCCGATCGATAAGTCGGACGGGCAATCGGAATGAATCGAATTGGCGGGCGACAGCCAAGTCGGGAGAAGACGAGTCGGCGGACATCGGCAGGCCAAGAAGTCCTTCGTTGAGAAACCAAAAACCACATCGGAATCCGAAATCGAATCGAATCGGAATCCGAATCGAAATTGAAGGGATGAAACCAACTCCGCTCACAATGAGTCCCCGGACTCCTCCCGCTGTCCATCCGTTTTGTTCCCGCTGTCCATCCGTTCTGACGGTCCCGTGGGCCCGAAAACGGCGCCTGAAGCAGAAAGGTAAAACACTGCGGAGGACGCCTCGGGCGCCGCGGCCTTCTCGGAGCGTTCCAGAACGCTCCGCGAGCGCTCTGGAACGCTCTGGAACGGATTCACCCTCGTCCTGGTTCGGTCCAAATTCACGTCCCTCTTCGGGCGTTGGCAGAACTGGGTTTCGTGGAACATGGTTTAGTAAATGAAGGGGAACTGGAACACACAAATAAATACACACAAATAAAAATATCCCCAATATTTTCCCATATTTTCTGGGTTTTTGTCTTCCCCACCACTTCCCATATTTTTGCATATTTTCCTGGGAGTCGACGATTAATTGTGTCTGTGTGTTCCTTTCCCTCCTGATAGTATTGTGCACTGGGGGACGCCCCCCCTGCCCCGTTCCACGAACCGGAACGGCCGCCACCCGAAAAAACACACCAGCTACGGCAGACCTGGTCGAGTGCTTCTGGCCAGTTCAAAATTTCTCTGGGGCCCTATACCACTGACAAGGGCCCCCTCACGAGGGGAGGGGCCCCAGGACACACAAATAAATACACACAAATGAAACTATCCCCCATATTTTCGCATATTTTCTGGGTTTCTGTCTTCCCCCCCACTTCCCATATTTTCCCATATTTTCTGAGGAATCGAGGATGAATGGCGTCTGTGTGTTTTCTCCTCTCCTGACTTACGAGGGGAGGGGCCCTGGCTCGACCCGACCTCTTTCGCCCCCGATCCTTGACGCCCTTGGCCTGCTCGGCCGGCGAGGCGCTCGGGCCACAGGCCGAGCCGGCCGCCGCGGACACGCCACGCGGCGGGGCGGGCCCGGCGCCGCTGCCCCCGGCCGGCGAGGGGGCCGCCGCTGCGTGCAGGCCCTCGTTTGGCGGCACGGGGCGAGCGGACACCCGGAGGACCGGCGGCAGGTGCTGTTCCTGCAGCCGGACCTTCAGTGGACAGGACACGCGAGAGGACAGGGGAGCCTTCCGAGGGCAACACTGCCATAGGAATGCAGGAGGCACGGTTCGCGAGACACAGGACACCAAAATACCCTTGATTTGGCAGGGTCGACCTGCTAATCCGGGCCGGCTGTAGTGTCTGTCCCCCCAAGAAGCTTCTTGGGAAACTCGAGGCGCCCCCAAAGGCTCCGTGAAAGGCGGTCGTGCCATGGGGCGAGCAGTTCTGATCCCCCAGGCGGCGGGGTTGGTCAAATCCCCGCCCTGGACCGCCGCGTATAGACAGATCGTCTCTGAGGTCCGCACGGATTTCTCGGATCTGCGCTGGACCCCCTCCCTGGAGCGAGGAGAGCGCTAGGGGCGGAGCCTGAGACGCCGCCACGGGGTGCAGGGGCCGACCCAAGAATCCGCACGGGCCGTCGAACATTTATGCTTATGTTTTTTGGCTCGTGTTCGATAGTTTCGTGTCGGCACCTCGTACTCCGAAACTCTACTTCTCAGACGGTTTCCCCAAACCTGGAAACCCATTGGATGAAGGGGCCCAGGGACACACCTAATTATGAATAGACACACGTCCAAGGATGCCCCATCTTTTCCATACCTTCTGGATGCTCGTCTTCCCTCCACTTCCCATTCCTCCCATCTGATCCTGGGAATCGTCGAATGCTTGAGTCTGAATGCTTTTTCCCCTCTTGAAGGGAGGCTTCCAAAGTGCCTTCATCCTCTGGCTTGAGCGCGTGAACTCGATCGGGGCCCGCCTCCCCTGCGATCCGACACAACAAGAAAAAGCAGCATCGCAAAAAATCACGACCAGAGCCCCGGACCCCATCTTCCTGCGTTATCTTTCGAACCAGATCGATCTGCGAGGGTCCCGGGGCTCGAAACTGGGCGACAGCGCCCCCGGTGAGACAATTGCAACGCCCCGATCTCGGGGCCCCTCCAGGGTCCCGCTCGCTTCGTGGCGACGCCTCGTACTCCGCGGCGAGCTCGAGCAGCCGCTGCCGGAACACGTGCGGCTGCATGGCGGGGGGGACGCCGCTCGGGCCACCGGCGCGGGGGGGCGGTCTCGGGGTGGGCTCGGCCCTTGAGGCCCGAGGTGGCCAGAGCCGAGAGCCTTCCGAGGAAAATCCTGGAGGCCTCCTCCTCCTCCTCCTCCTCCTCCTCCTCCTCCTCCTCCCTCCCAGGAGGAGGGGAATGAGGAGGGAAGGTGTTCTGGAGGCCTCGCACGGCAACTTGAGACTCAGTGCACGTCGGATTCACCCGGGCACCAACAAGAGTACATAAACGCCACGGGGGGGGGGGGGGGGGCCAAACGCAGATCCAAGAGATCCGCGGAGCTCCAGAAATTTACTTGCATGTCGTCCTTTATTATTGGGTTCGCGTTGGATCTACGACGGGCTCAAGTTGGATGTACCGTGGGCTTCTGTCGGAGCATCGCCGCCCGAATGTCATCCCATATCTTATGGGGCAGGCGCGACGACCAGATACCACAGTTACTGTGCGCCGCGCGAGGATTCCAAGATGCTCCCCCATAGCGAGCCAATGCGTGCCTCCCCCATCTTCTGCCCTTCTGTGGTCCATCCTCGCCGCAACTCAACTAGTGTCGGTGATTTGGACGTTTCGCCTGACGGGCGTTTTTTCGAGATGATCAGACATCCCCCCCCCTCGGGCCTGCCCTGGGAGCGCACTCTTAAAGGGAAATTAGGACACACAAATAAATACACACAAATAAAAATAGTCCCCATATTTTCCCACATTTTCTGGGTTTTTGTCTTCCCCCCCAATTCCCATATTTTCCCATATTTTCCTGGGAATCGAGGATTAATTGTGTCTGTGTGTTTTTTTCCCTCCTGAACTCTGGTCGGAGCACCGAGGGACATCAAGCCCTGGCGACGAGCAGGCCCCCCAGAAAGCGACGAGCTGATCTTCGGTCTGCGCGGGGCCCTCCCGACAAATCCACTTCGCTGTGGCTGTGGCTCTGCGTTCTGCCCGGAGGTGCGTGAAACAGCTCACGAGTCTGGCTTCTCCAGCGCCTCCCCGTGCCAGAAACGCGCCAGTGTGTGTCGAGGAAGGCGCCCGGCGGCGGGGTCGAGACCAGCCACGTGCAGCAGATTTCGTATCCCCCCCTGTTCCCTATCTCCCCCTTTCGTCAAACCCGAGAGAAGTGATGGGTGGAGAGGCCCAGGGACACACACATAAATAGACACAAATCCGAGGAGGCCTCATATTTTCAATAGATCCTGGATGTTCGTCTTCCCCTCCACTTCGCAGTGTTCCCATGTTTTCTGCGGAAACGACGATGCTAAATGTCTGAGTGCATTCTTCCGTTCTGACTCTCGTCCGACCCCTCCCGATGTTCGTCTTACCCTATCGGAAGGCGGCGCGGCTTCTCCCAGAAGCCCCAGCACCTTCTGAGACGCTTCCTTTGACTTCTGGAAAGCTCAGTAAATGTTCCAGAAGGAGGAGGAGGAGGAGGAGGAGGAGGAGGAGGAGGAGGAGGAGGAGGAGGAGGGGGAGGAGGAGGAGGAGGAGGAGGAGGGGGAGGAGAAGGAGGAGGAGGAGAGGGGGGGGATGGGGGAGGGGGACCCAGGGCGAGTCGCCGACTCCCGCCCGACCCGGGAGAAAGATCGGGGAGGGACCCTGGCCTCCGACTTCCCGCGCAACACGGCCAGGCCGCGAAACCGCAGCGCACCTACGACCGCACCCTCCTCCGGGGCCACCCGGGGCCTCCCAGGGCGCTCCTGCAGGGTCCCCCTCCCGTCGGGGAGACGTGAGCCTCGGCAAGCCCGGGTTCCAGCGAACTCGAGTCTTGAGTTTCCCCTACACCCTGCGAAATGCTTAAGAAATCATGGGTTAAGAAATTCATAGTCTCAGAACTTGAATAAAAACCCAACATTTCCATTAAAATCTTAAGATTTACATTGGGACGTTAAGAATAATCGAGACTATGGCCGAAAACTTAAGTTTTCTTAAGCATCGCCTAAGGTGTATCCTGGGGCATCCTCAACCCCCAACCACCCCATCGCACCCCGGCCCCAAGAGCGCCTCCCAACCCCGACATCGCCGCCGACGGGTACACATTACCCACACATCAGATCCCGTCCGTGCCCACACGTTCTACACATTATACACTACGCATGACAGGGACTCGTTGAGGTCAACGCGGTCCTTCAGAACAAGCACCGTTGAAGCCGCAGTCCACGAGTTCGAACGTAATGTTAAACACCAGCGTCGGGCAGGGCGCGCAAATACTCAGCAGTGATGTCAGAGACCCGCAGCTACCTGGCAATGGTCGGTCGTTGACCTTTGAGCGTCCTGTCAATGAGCTGGCAGAACCGCCAGTGGTTTGTCAGTGACCGGTCAGTGAGTTGTCAGTGACCTGGTGGTCTGACAGCGTGCTGTAAATTAGCTGTCAGTGAGTTGTAAGTGACCTGTCAATGTGCTGTCCGTGACCTGTCAGTGAGCTGCCCGTGAGCTACCAATGCCCTGTCAATGACCTGTCAATTAGCTGTCCGTGACCTCTCACTGAGCTGCCAGTGAGACATCAGTTCGCTGTCCGCGGCCTGTCCGTGGCCTGTCAGAGAGCTGCCAGTGCGCTGTCAGTGAGCTGTTAGTGAGCTGTCAATGAGCTGTTAATGCCCTGCCCATGGGCTGTCAGTGAGCTTGCAATGGCTTGTAGGAGAGCTTACAGTGAGAGCTGACCGTGACCCGTCAGCGAACTGTCAGCGAGCAGTGAAGAAGCTTGCAGTGGGGGTCTAGATAAAACGTGTACCTGGGACACAGAGGAAACTACTAACTGGCCGCTGTCACCTCAATGCAGTCTGCCTGACAGCGCACTGACAACTTACGGACACCTCCCTGGTAGCTCACTGACTGCTCCCCGGCAGGTCACCGACAAGCCATTACCAGGTCGATGACAGGTCACTGGCAAGCCAATGACGGGCCCCTGTCAACGCAATGACGGCTCACTGACAGAGCGTACCGTAACCCGGATCCCATAACCCGTAGCCCGCCAAGTTCGAACACCTTCCAAGCTTCCACTGGACAAACACATGCCCATCCGTCCATGGTCCGTCGTGCAGGAGGGCGAGAGGGTATAGGGTAGAAGGGAAGTGGGCGAGGGTCCCATCGGAAGCCTCGGAAGGGGCCCCAACCACCTCCCCGAGATTGGACTCGACTACACGCAATTAAGAGTGACCCTACGTTAGTGTGGGTGACCTTTGGTGCGCGGCTTCAGGGGCACGCAATCGCGCAAGCCTGCGCTGCCGTTCCACATTAAATGATCGGCGGGGCGCCACTCGAAAGTTTGTTTGTACCAGCGGGCATGCGCGGAATTCCGCCGATTGAATTCGAGCGCCCCGAATCGCACTTCGAATCGCACTTCGAAGCCTGGAATATGCTTGAATATCTTTGGGTAACTTACAACAATAAATATCCCCATTTGTTCGAACAAAAATATATTCACACAAAGTTTCAAATATTCAAAAATATCCAAAGATAATCAACCCTGACGTTTTGGGATTTGGGGTGGGATTCGGGACTGGTCCTGGGCCGGAAAACGCGCCGTCTGGTCGACCGGCTTCCCCTCGGGTAACCAATGCAACCTGTAAGGTGCGACGCGTATGCGTCGCTGTCGATTGCAAGGGGTGGGCCCAAACCTGGCGCGCTCAGATGCGAGCGTAATGACGCGATGCAGGTGCCGACGTGAGGTCAAACTCATTCCACAAGAAAAATCTCCCGACCCCATTTGGGCCAGCACCAAAGGTCACTCCGGCGAAGGGTCACTCTTACGTGTAGTCGGTTGGCCTAGGCCCCAACGTTCTACGCTGCGGTCCCGGTCCAGCAATACGGGGTTACCCAGACCTCTCGACCTCTGAATGCGTCCTGGATCGTCTCTTGATGCCACGATGGCGGAACGCCGCAAACAACAATCCGCGCTGTATTTCCGAAAGACGCTGGAGGTCTGTGAGGGCAGCCTCTGCGACGCTCTGCATCCTTGCGTGCTGCCTGTCTTGACTTCACGTGGCGCCTCCCCAACCTGGGGCTCGAGGAGGGCTCCCGCCAGAGGCCTCCCGAAGCCCCCAGATGCCTTCCAAGACAGATCCCGAAAATCATCAAACACACCAAACCTCGACCTCGATCTTCGAACCTCTTTCACATATGAGGCCGAATCTTCACTGACCAAAATCTCCGACGCCGTGATTGTTTCACAACGCGGATCCTCAGAGGACTAGACCCCTTCCCTGATCCCAATTCTTCATCCCGATTGTTTTTTCGACAGTCCCAGGGCCCGGTGAGGGTCCCTGGAGGCCGAAAGTTGCCAAAACCCCTCCGTCTTGGGTGGTCACCGCACCGTCCAGGGGCCCCTGAGATCTGCCGTTGCGGAAAAAATGAAACATCGCGGAAAATCGCGACCGAAACCCTTAGTGCGATTTTGCTGCGGTATTTCCCAAGCCAGATTGACCTGTGAGGGTCCAAGGCCCGAAACCCTGCGAAAACGCCCGCTTGGAAAAAAATCAACGCCAAAATCTCAGGGGGCACCGCACCGTCTGAACCAACAGGTACCGATATCGCTACTCCCCGAACCTCTACCGAGATGGGCTCTGACCAAAATTTCGTGGCGAGTCAAGCCGTGGCGACGAGGGCCTCCCAGGAGCATCAAGCAAGCGACACCGAGGAAATCTTGCAATATCGGTACCTTGAACTCCTCTGAGCCCCCCCTGGCTTCCGGGTCATAACTCGGCCCTCCGGCGGACGTTGGGAACGATCCAGGCGCCCCAGGAGACCGCCGAGAACCGACGAGACGTCCGAACACCTCGAACCTCGAACCTCGGACCCCTGACTCTGGTCCGCGCGCGCGTGCGCAGCGGGCCACCACCGTGAATTGAGCAGGGACCGACCGTCCAGGCATTCCTATAGTCCTACAGCGAAATGTTCTTAGAACCCCCAAAAATGTTCCAAGAACCAAAACGATGTTCTTGGAACACAAGCCCGATGTGCCAAAACAAGACAGTCCCGGCCAGAAATGTTATAAGAACTTTTCCTGGAAGCCACAAAAGGTTCTTAGAACAGTCTTTGGTAGGGCTACCGGCGAGCCGGGACGCTTCGCCGCTGCTCGAGCGAAGGCCACCGAGACCCTCGGCGTGCCGCCCCCCGGCCCCGCACCGGGGCCGCAGGGTGCCAGCGGCGGGCCGCCAGCCAGCAGCTGCCGCTCGCGCGCCGTGGCCCAGGAGCTGCCGCCAGCGCCGCTGGTGGCCGGAGCGGGTGCCGGCTGCCGCCTGGGCTGCAGGCCCTCGCCGAAGGGGCCCAGGGACACACGAATAAATATACACAATTACCCTGCGACGTACCCAACCCACGCGCATCGAATGGCAAGAGGAGTATGCCAACATTAGCAAGAACAACGACAGTGTAGACGCGGCGATTTGCTGCGCAAGCTACATGGGATGCGCATGCGTTGCACGATTCACAGGACGACGATCGAAAAAACGAGGCTTGAGGCCCCAGGATCGAAGAAAAACGGGCACGGGAACAAGGGGTAGGAGAGGGATGGGACGGAGGGCGGGGGGGGGCGAAAAGGCCATCGCGGAAGCAGCAGCATGCATGGAAAAGGTGAGGCGGGGAATAGGACGACGATGAAAGTGGCGGGAGGAAACAGAAGACTGCCGCGTTTTTCAAGTGCGAGCTAAACCCGCAGCGCTGCCTGCGCCGTGTCGTCGCAGAGTTCCACATGATAAAACTTGTTTAGGGCGCAAGGAACGAGCGAGGCGTAGCTCGCCCGCTAGCTTCTCCGCCTCCTTCCCGCGCATTTCAGCGCGGGAACTGAAAGCTTACAGGCGCGCCGCCAGGTCTGCGGGCGGCCCGCGGGAAAGAAACTCAAGGCCGGGGTCGCGTATCATCAATCGGTTGTCCATCGTCCAAAGTTGCACTGGCGACGTACTGGTTGAACGCGGAGCGAGCAGCATCACGCGCGTGCCTGAACGCCACGCAGGTACAGTGCACGCGCGATTGGGACTTCAGGTCGATCACGCGCGTCTCCACCAGGCTTGGCAACACCACGCGACTGAGGATCTCACTGCGGTCTGCCATGCTGCTGTCCGCGAATGCAATGCGCTGCCTGCAAGTAAGGCGGCGGCGTCCACTTGTCTCAGAAGATGTTCCCGCGGGCCCGAAGGGCGACCGCCAGCTCGAGCCGCGGCGCCGGCAGGCCAGATAAGGATCATGCAACAGCAAAGACGATGACAGAGCAACGAGGTATCGGCGAGTGCATGACCGGCCTCCGTTTCCTGCACTTCTTTCCTGTAGTTCCCCTAGCTCATCGAGCTCAGCAGATGTTTCTGCGGGTCCGAAGGACGACCGCCAGCTCGAGTCGCAGCGCCGACGAGCTGCATCCACATCAGGCAACACCCCAGGAGACACTGGCACACAACGATTTGACGTCAGTCAGTGCCAGACCACTCCATGTCTAGTTCCTCGCACACATACAGTCGATCGCAGATGCGGGATAATCGAAGTAGAATGACGGGTCCAATCTGCGTCCGCGTAGGACGTCACTATGCTGGACCCCGCAGCAGGTCTCGAAAGTGGCGACAGTTTCATGGGCCCCACAGCAGCCCTCGAAAGTGGCGACAGTTTCACAAATCGTAGCCCCCCAGCGCTGGCGAGGTCTAATCTGAGTCCCCGTAGGACGTCACTCCGCTGGCCCCCCAGCAGCCTTCGAAAGTGGCGACAGTTTCACAGATCGCAGCCCCCCAGGGATGGCGAGGTCTAATCTGTATCCCCGTAGGGCGTCACTCCGCTGGGCCCCCCACGCAGCCTTCGAAAGTGGCGACAGTTTCACAGATCGTAGCCCCCCAGCGCTGGCGAGGTCTAATCTGAGTCCCCGTAGGACGTCACTCCGCTGGGCCCCCCAGCAGCCCTCGAAAGTGGCGACAGTTTCACAGATCGCAGCCCCCCAGGGATGGCGAGGTCTAATCTGAATCCCCGTAGGGCGTCACTCCGCTGGGCCCCCCAGCAGCCCTCGAAAGTGGCGACAGTTTCACAGATCGCAGCCCCCCAGGGATGGCGAGGTCTAATCTGATCCCCGTAGGGCGTCACTCCGCTGGGCCCCCCAGCATCCCTCGAAAGTGGCGACAGTTTCACAGATCGCAGCCCCCCAGGGATGGCGAGGTCTAATCTGAATCCCCGTAGGGCGTCACTCCGCTGGGCCCCCCAGCAGCCTCGAAAGTGGCGACAGTTTCACAGATCGCAGCCCCCCAGGGATGGCGAGGTCTAATCTGATCCCCGTAGGGCGTCACTCCGCTGGCCCCCCAGCAGCCTCGAAAGTGGCGACAGTTTCACAGATCGCAGCCCCCCAGGGATGGCGAGGTCTAATCTGAGTCCCCGTAGGGCGTCACTCCGCTGGCCACCCCAGCAGCCCTCGAAAGTGGCGACAGTTTCGCAGATCGCAGCCCCCCAGAGATGGCGAGGTCTAATCTAAGTCCCCGTGGGGCGTCACTCCGCTGGCCACCCCAGCAGCCTTCGAAAGTGGCGACAGTTTCACAGATCGCAGCCCCCCAGGGATGGCGAGGTCTAATCTGAGTCCCCGTAGGGCGTCACTCCGCTGGCCACCCCAGCAGCCCTCGAAAGTGGCGACAGTTTCACAGATCGCAGCCCCCCAGGGATGGCGAGGTCTAATCTGAGTCCCCGTAGGGCGTCACTCCGCTGGCCCCCAGCCCTCGAAAGCGGCGACAGTTTCGCAGATCGCAGCCCCCCAGGGATGGCGAGGTCTAATCTGAGTCCCCGTAGGGCGTCACTCCGCTGGCCACCCCAGCAGTCCTCGAAAGTGGCAACAGTTTCACAGATCGCAGCCCCCCAGGGATGGCGAGGTCTAATCTGAGTCCCCGTGGGGCGTCACTCCGCTGGCCACCCCAGCAGCCCTCGAAAGTGACGACAGTCTCGCAGATCGCCGCCCCCCAGGGATGGCGAGGGGCAAGCTAGGTAAAAGGCAAGCGAGAAGAGGACGAGCAAAGAGAGGAGGAGAAGGGAAGCAAGAGAGGAGAGCAGGAACGAAGAGAGGAGGAGAGGGGGCGGGAGGCGGGAGGAGGAAGGTGGAGACCACAGTGCTCTATTCAAAACGAGTACCCAACGCAGGAGGGTTGGGAAATCAAAATATGCCCCATATTTTCCTAATCTTTTTGGGGTTTTCGTTTTTCTCCACCCCACTTGTCACATATTCCCATATTTTCTGGGGAATCGACGATGAATTGTGTCTGTGTGTTTCTTTCCCTCCTGACTCTTGGACGCCCGATACCCAAGCATGCTCGCGTCGTGAAGAAATCAAGACGAAGGTTATTCGTAGTTTTCGGCCTGTCGGGGCCCTCGTAGGGCCGCGGGACTGTCAAACAACAAATCGGGATGAAGAACGAATCGGGATGACAAAAATCAGGGCGTCGCATGTCTGAAGATGAGTACGAGTCAACTGGGGACGGCAAGTTCGTGTCGTGCCGACCCTGGCGTTGGTTTCTGACACGGCGTGGATCGTTCAACCTTGAACGCTCGGCGGCTTTTCGATCGCAAGCTCGTTCAATATTGGCCGATTCTGGGCCCCTGGGGGCATTCAACGTTGAACGACCGCGGCTGTGTCGCTGCCACGTCGGCACGACACAAACCTACCGTACGATGCCCAACAACTAATGTTGTCCACAACCGAGAGCCGCCACTGTTGGACAAACGGCCTTCCCTCGCAAATGGGCAACTGCGGCAACGCCTGCGGAGCCGCCGGCAACGAGTCCTGTTCTCAAATGAAAAAGAACTGCTGTCGGTCTTCGTACACATTCTTTCCGTAACCGTTTCGATCGTACCGAGCCCTTTCCCCAGCTGCGCGCAAGACCTGGACCCATCCGCGTCGGGAGAATTACCCTGAGACGTGCCCAACCTATTTGCATCAAGAGGCCAAAGCAGGTGGCCCAAGTTGGTGTGGACAATGGCATCGCAAGAGCTGCCAATCATTGCGCAGGCTACACGAGATGCCAACGAACTGCGCGACTCGCAGAACAGCCGTAGCAGGATGAGGAGTGAGGCCCCGTGCTCGAAGGGGAAAGGAGGGAGAACGAGAGGAAGAAAGAGGACAGCAAGGGCTGCAGGCCCTGGGCTGCCGCCAGGGCTGCAGGCCCTTTTTTCTCAGCTGCGCGTAAGGGGCGCAGCTGTTGCTTAGGGCCTAAGTTTGCCTGCGGCTCGTTAGCTGCGCATTTCTAGACGGAACGCGGTTGGACCGCGACGCTCGCGAAAAAAGCAAGGGGCGCAGCCATCTGGGGACCCACCTGTGCCCGCACCAAAGGGCACCCCGGCGAAAGGTCACTCTCACGTCTGTTCGAGTGACGGGCCACGTAACCAAGTCTGCGAGGCCAGGTGCATAATCTTCTTGTTGGGCGTGGCTTCATGGGGGGGTCATAAATGGGGGGGTCAGAAACGGTCCCCTTTCGTGCCCCTTTCGGGCCCCTCTGGAGCCCCAGGGGGCTCGTTTAGGTACCGTTTGGGTACCTTTTCGAACCACCCTCGCCACCCCCCTATTTATGACCCCTCCATTACGCAACGCCCAATCTTGGGCAGGAAGCTGATCTCCGGCTTCATCCTTGACCAGTCCGCACTGGTCTTCGTCAAAGCCTCCGCCTTCCCCGGCTTGCTCGCGGACCGTATGCTCCTCAGAGCAAGCGGCCTGTGCGCCGCGACGGCCTTCATCCCGCCACCCTTCGGCAGGGACTGGAGTCAGATCCTCATCTTCAGCTTCCTCGTTGGCTTGGCTTCCTTCGGGATTGGCCACAGTCGTTGTTAATATTTGTGATGGTGAGCCGAGACCTCTGCATCCTCCGTGTCGTGAGGGCGGTCCATGACGCAGAGCACCTCAACCTCTTCAGATGCCGACCCAGCCAGACCAGGAACTGGGGCTGGGAACCGGGAGAGGCAACAAAACTGGCATGCCTCGAGCCCCAGTTGACCGAGCCAAGCAAGGCCCGAGCGGGCGAGGGAAAGGGCAGCCCCCCAAACTGCCTCCCTCCTCCCCTTCCGCCTCGATCTCTCCGACCTCCTCCTCGTCCTCCTCCTGCTCGCTCCTCGTCCTCCTCGTCCTCCTCCTCCTCCTCGCTCCTTCCTCCTCCTCCTCCTGCTCCTCCTCGCTCCTTCCTCCTCCTCCTCGTCCTCCTCCTGCTCCTCCTCGTCCTCCTCCTCGTCCTCCTCGTCCTCCTCCTGCTCGCTCCCTCCTCCTCGGCGCGCGCTCCCGCGCATGGCATTTGTCCTTCCCTTTGCCCTCCATCCGCACGCCCACGGCCGCCCGCGCCCACGGCCCGCCCTCGTCGTCGCCGTCGCCAGTCCGCACGGAACATCGGGCGGACTGGCGCGACGGCGGCAACGACGACGACGACGACGACGACGACGACGGAAGCCGATGCCCTCGGTTTCGAAGATTCCTGTGTCTCTGGGGGCCCCTGGCGACGACGACCACGACGACGACGACGACGACGACGACGACAGCCAACGCCCTCGGTGTCGGAGACTCCTCCGCGCCTCCGGGGGCTCCCGTCGCCACGGCAGAGCGAGGCCCGGAAGGTCGAAATGGTCAGAAGCAGGCCCAGGGCGCGTCTGCCCGGGCTTCGGGCAGCAGTTGAGCGACGAGGAGAAACGGGCCCTGCACGATAAGCAACTCAAGTACCCCTAATCCTCTGGGTGGGGAGCTAAGGTGGGGGGGAAAGACTTCAAGGACAGCTTCCCGCGTCCTGGATTGTTTCTGATGGCCACCAGGGCTCGAGCTGGACAGTGTTTTTCGTGTTCGTTGTGTTTGCGCTCTCCCTCGTTCCGCATTCGTTCTGGCTTCGCTGAGAAACGACATCAGAACGAAAACGATCCACGAGATCGCCAAGACACCGTTTGCCTCGAGCCCTGATGGCAACGGAGCCCGAAACTGGCGCCTGGCTTCAGCAGGCTACGACCATAATTCTGCGCTTTTCTTTCCAAACACGCTTCATGTCTGCAAAAAAACAGCCTTCACGATGCATTGTATCATTGCGCGCTGCTGGTCTTAACTGCGTGTGGCGCATCCCCCACCTGGGGCTCGAGGAGGGCTCCCGACGGAGGCCACGACAGAACAAAACACACACACACACACAACAAAAAAAACACTCAAATATGGAGGTTCGAACTCCTCCTCCTCCTCCTCCTCCTTCTCATCCTTACTACTGTCGCTTCGTGACTGTATTCGGCGCGCCCCGCGATATGGAGCTCGAGACCTCTGGAAGGCGCCAGAGGCCGAAGGGCATCGATCTTCGATCCTCCTCCGGCGATGAGGCACTGTGCTGTCGCACTGCTGGCCCAGGATGCGCCTGGCGGTGGCCCTGGGTGGCCCGAGCCTCGGCCTTCGAGCCCCGATCCTCGAACATCCCCCTGTTGGACCCGTCCTGGGCTTAAGCGATCCGTCCTCCTCCTCCTCCTCCTCCTCCTCCTCCTCCTCCTCCTCCTCCCCTCCTCGTCCTCCTCCTCCTCCCCCTCCTCCTCCTCCTCCTCCTCCACCTCCTCCTCCCCCTCCCCCTCCTTCTCCTCGTCCTCGTCCTCAACGCCCTCCTCCTCCTCCTCCTCCTCCTCCTCCTCGACTGCGCGACAGTCGACCCCAGACCGAAAAACAGGACTGCCCATGTTGGACATCCATTGGCAGCTCTCTGTCGCTGGATGCTCGATTACCAGCCGCGTCTACATGGCAGAGCGGGGTGGGGGATGGTAAGGGGAATGCCACTCCCTCACAAACACCTTGCCCCGGTTTGATTTGTGGCCGCCGCGATCGCCGCGGCGACCTCCAAAACCGACTTCAAAGTTTGGTTCGGGGTCGAATATCACGTAACTGTTCAGGGTACTGGCCGCTCTTGGTGCCCCCGCGGCCTGGGGCTCGAGGAAGGTCCCGACTGGCCCGTGTTCGGTCGGGAACTGCCTGAGAGGGGCCACACGTACTCTCGGGCGCGGCGTAATGGAGGTCGACAAATGGGGAGATGAAGGAAGGTGCACCTCTCGCACGCCGAAACGGGCCCTAAAAGAGCCCTCTGGGGCCCAGAAGGGGCACGAAAGATGCACGCTTCTGCGACCCCCCCCATTGATCGCCCCCCCCACTGACCAACGCCCAATACTCGCACACACCACGTCTTCCGGGCGGCCAGGGAGCTCGGCCCCTGGGTGAGCAGAAACTCCTTTCAGCACCCCCCACCCCCAAATCGAAACGACCCTGGGCCAGACCTGGCGGACGCCGGCCGGCACAAGGTGCGGCCGCGACGCCCCCTCGAGAACCGAAGAAGGGCAAGTCGATACGTCATCAAATTGGATAGTGGTGGTTCGGTCAAACTTTGATCAAAACACACAGACGCCCCAGCTTCCCAAGACGTGGGATGCCGGATCGTTTTCTCGCCATCGCTCGGACGGCCATTCCCAGGGCATGCTTCGACTTCGTGCATGTGCTTTTTTGTCGCAAGATGATCCGAGACGCTCCTAGATTGTCCTCGCAAAGAAACTCGTGCACGCGTCCGAGCGGTGCCAGGGCTGCGCACGGCCCTGCTTCGCTGCACTTTGTGGCTCCCTGGCTGGCCAGACGACGAGGCGTACGGCAGGCTGCTGCCCTTAATTCGGGGGCGGAAAAGAGGGGGGCGTCCAAGAGGGGGGGGGTACAAATCATGGCCGGCGGCATGTGCGCGGCCGGGGGGGAGGGGCCGGGGACGCGCTAAAACAAGAAGAGGCGCCATGAAATCTGCGGAAATATCATGGCTCCCGTCATGATATCCACCCCCCCCTAGTCATCGGGCGGGGAACATCAGTCATGATTCACAAGCTGCAATTAGCGTTCGCAACAGGTCGCGAAATGGAGGAGCATGATTTCGCCGCCCAGAACATCCCCACTTTCGTGGCCGTGGCCCCAGACGCCGACTTCTACACCCCTAGATATGGGGATGTAGGCTGTTCCCTTAAGAGCCCGCCCCACCTGGGAGGGTGGGCTGGTGGGGCTGAGCTATCAGGGCCCAATTGGGCTGGCGGATGGTCACTCGACTAAACGTGGTGGTGACAACACCAGGCGGTGAGTCTCGGGCGACTTGGTGTCACCACCCGGTTTGGGGACTCGCGCGCTTTTCCGAGGATGTCTCGAACGCTGGTGTGACTTGCTGGGGACCCCAGGTCACCACCTGATATCTCACCACCTGGTCTGGGGGCTCCCCAAATGCTGACATCTCGAGTCGGAGATCCGCTGACCCAGGTCAATGCAGACCCGGGTCAGCCGGGCCTTGCAAGATCCTGCAACATCCTGCAGGATCCTGCACCCAAACCCGGGTCAATGCGAAGGATCCTGCAGGATCCTGCACCCAAACCCGGGTCAATGCGAACCTGGCCGTGCAGGATCCTGCAGGATCGGGCGCTCTGGCTGACCCCCGTTTGCATTGACCCCCGTCTCAAGGCTCCCGATCGAGCCCCCTCCCCCCGGACCTCCGGGGCGCGACGCGCTGGCGTCGCCATCGACGAGGTGGCGCAGCTGCTGCAGCCGCGCCTCCACCCCGGCCGCCGCGGCCCGGCGGACCTGCCGCGCCGCTCTCCGGGTGCCCCCGAGGTCCTGCCGCGGGGCGACGAGCCCAGGAGCTCCAAAGACGTGTGCTGCTCCTCAGTCCGGGCGCTCTTCCCCTGGTGCCTCGGCCCTCGGGGGCCGCTTTCTGAACGCAGGGCCAGCTTCGCGCTGCGCGAAGCGCGAACAACTTCGCGCTCGTGCGCCGCCCCCCCGAGGAGAGGATGACGAGGATAACGAGGATGAGGAATCGCGAATCGCGAACGCCGCGAATACCTTCGTACACTCGTGGCTGCTCTTAGGACACGGGGCCGTCAGACATGGATCCAGCGGTCGGGACCTCCTGTGGCTGCGCACTGAACAGAAACATATCCGCGGGTGAGGTGAGTATTTTTGGAAGCTCGGTCTCGGTTAAGTAACCACTATTGGCCTTTGGCGGCCTTCCAGTGTCATAGTACCGGCCTTTCGTTGACTTTCGTCGCCTTAAGCAGCCTCCAGTGGCCTTTGGCAGCACTTCGTAGCCTTCAGGGTTCTGTAGTAGCCTCTGCGACAGTGCCAGGAAGCGTGTTACAGTCGGGATTGATTGGAGAGGACACGCGTGAGGACACAAGACCCTTCCGAGAGCCACGCTGCCACAGAAATGCAGGAGGCATGTGTCGCGAACGCACAGGACACGAGGGTGGGTACCCTTGATCTGGCAGGGTCGACCTACTAATCCGGGCCACCTGTATGCATGTCAGAAGGAGCTTCCAAAAAGACCCACTTCAGGCGGGTGTCACGGAAGACATCTCGAGGGGCCTCGCGGCCTGGCCACGGGAGCTCGGCCCGCCCCACGGCGGCGCGGAGCCTGCTGGCACCGACGCTCTGCACTGGGCACTCTCGCGCAGAGCCCCCGCGCAGCCGTGGGGCTGCAGCAGAGAGCCCCGACCGCGAGGCCGCGGGTGTGGACGCGCTGCCCGCCCACGATCCTCCTCGTCGTTCCCGTCGGCGGGGACCTCCAGCATCGATCCGTGGGCCCCCCCCCCCCCCTGGCAGGCTTCCAGCGTCCTGGGCCTCCCCTGAGGCATTCGAGCCGAGGCGCCCGGGGGTGCAGGCAGGAGGGCGACGGGGGCGAGGAGGAGGGCGCTGCGAAGGGAAGCCTCAAGCATTGGCCCGCGCCCCCTCCAACTGTCCGCACCGGATCGGGACATCGGCTCGGATCGGCATGTGCACCGAATCGGGCCAGCTCGGCGCGAGGCCGGAATCGGACCCGAAGCGCCAGGATGCCCAATGCGGCCATGCAAGCATTGGGCCGCACCAGATCGCCGAAACATCGAAATCCAATCGGATAGGGCCAGTCAGAATCGGTATCAAATCGGAACCATCGGATCGGAACGGATCCTGCCTCCCCCCGCCTCCCGGCGGCTTCCCGCGTGCCCCCCCCATTGGCGATGGAGCCCGGCAGCTGAGGAGCAGGACGAGGACAACGAGCAGGAGCGAGCAAGACTGGCGCTGCCATCTCGTCAAGAGGCAGCGGGAAGCTCCTCGTACTCAGATCGCCGAGGGGGGTCGCTGAGCGGATAGGTGTGTTGCACGTGGATGCTGAGGTACATCATGTCTGGCCTAGCTGAGCTCAGGTCTGGGCTGAGTGGGCGGAGCCCACTTGGCGGAGTTATCTAATCACCCTGAGCCGCTTAGGGCACTTGCAATCCACTTGTACGCTAGGCCAGATAGAACCCGTCTTAGCAGTCACTTCTAACTCCCTACCCTATGCACTTAACCGCCCACCCGGCGATCCAAGTGGTGATGCGGCGATGTCGCTGCTCTTCGGCGTCTTGCTCAAGATAGCTCCGAACTCCAACTCAGGGAAGCATCGTGGACATCCTCGCAAGGCGGAGGGGGGGTCTGGTTGTGGAGGCAATGCCCTCGTTCACTCTCCAGGCAAAAGCGAGGCGAAGACGAGGACGACGACGAAGAAACCAGTGATCTGGAACGCGAAGGAAAGCATCTGCGCCATCATGTGAACTCCTCCTTCTCCTGCGTCCTTCTTTCTGTTCCTGACTCATCGTCCTCCTCCTCCTCCTTCTTTTGGGCGGCGCGCACAATGGGGCAGTGGGAGGGCGAAAGGCTTCTTGTAAAGAAGCTGCTTCTTAGAAAGCGGTGGTCCTACATCTGCGGACAAGGCCCGCGCCTTCCAAGATGCAGGGGTACTTCTACGGAGCCTTCCTCCACGGCCCTACCCCCCTCTGCGCGTGGCCAATTCTTCGCCACGCCAGCCCAATTCCAAACACCTCCTCCCTCCTCCTCTGCTTCCAGGGCCCCCGCTGACGCATCCATCAACACCGTCTGCCCTCCCCCCAATAAATTGCCGTCTGGAAAGGCCTTGGGAAACCATGTCTCGGTCCACACTTTCGCGTGGAGCACGCCTGAGGACAAGTTTGTCGTCGTGGGTTTTTCAAAACCCGAAAGGGTCTGGGTACTTCGCCATGTGGCAGCCATGCCGACCGCGCATTCATTCCTGGCTGCGCGCACGCGTGTAGCGCTCGGTTACATGCACGCTGTTCGCTCACCGACGACGCGTGCGCCCCCCTCCCCGGTCGAGCTCCTTTGCCCCTGTCGCCGTGCGCCCTGCCGTGGCGACGAAATCCTCCGACCCCACGACGGATTCCAGTGGAAGACTGACTTCTCCGAAACACACGGAATATTCATGGTCAAAGAAGACATGTGCCTAAACGCTAAGAAACTTGTTACAACATACTCATTAAGATTGCTTTCGCAACGGCGGTGATTCACGAAGTACCCGTTTCCGAAACCAACGATTTCCAAAACGTACCCATTGTGCGTTGGAATGCTTATTTGTTTCCTCGCCGGGCCCGATGCCCAACAAAGAAAACCGTCGACGCTCCGCCGCGCGGCCTGGACGAGCAATCCGCGCAACGGCGGCCCCCTCCTACGTCCCACTTGCTCGACATGCGTGATGATATCTCGCAACACGACCGGTGACTTGCGAAATAAACTCACGTCAGAGGGCAAAGCTAACATCATGTAAACCACCGAGTCAACTGACGGCCTGAACATCACTGGGACAATGGAGTTCCACACTCTAGAAGGCCAGGGCTTGATCTCGCATTCGACTGGTGATCCCCACATTTCCTCCCTATCTTTCTCCCCGCTCCTCATCATCATCATCATCATCATCATCATCATCATCATCACATCATCCGCACTCTTGCCCTCCCGTTCCCCCCTTCCCCCTCCGCCACCTCGCGAGCCCGGCCGAAACGAGTGCCTGGCTGCTGCCCGAACGTCGCCGCAACAGCCGCAGTGACGAACGGGCGCGCCGAGAGCCAAGAGAAACAAATGCGGCGAAGGAAGGCGATATCGTCCCTCCGCGTGGAGGCCCCGCCCGCGGAAGCATAATAATCTGTGGATCCACGGACCCGTCTGCTGCCGCGGGCCAGGCCCTTGACAACAGTCCGTGGGTCCCCTCCTGACATGCGACGTTGCGAAAAAATGCAACATCGCAGAGAACCGCCACCAGAACCCTAAGCCACAGAATTCAAAGTCCGAGCCAAATCGATCTGTCATGGTACTGGTGCCCGAAAACGAGCGAAACCGCCCGGTGAAAACATTGCAAATAGCGCGCCACTGTCGCTTGGAAAGGGTGGGGGGTTGGAACCGGACCCCCCCCCCTTGGATGGAAGGGGGTGGGTTCGACCCCCCCCCTCCCCTCCCTCCCTCTCCTCTCTCCTCGGGCCGGCGCCTGCGTCGGCGGGCGGCTGGCGGCGGCGGCTGCGGCGGGGACGACGGTTTCCTTTTCTGGGCCCGCGCCGGCGCCTGCGGCGGAGGCTGGGGGACAGGAGAGCGGTGCGCGACAGCGGAGAGAGGGCGCGCGCAAGAGCCTTCCCCGCGGAGGAATTTCGCCGCGGGCTCCGCGACGGAACCTTCCTCCCCGGAAGAATCGGCCACGAGGCCTGCGACAGAACCGCCCTGCCCGGAAGGTTCTGTCACGGGGCCCGTGGCGGAACCTTCCAGGCAAGAGGTTCCGTCGCAGGGCCCGTGATGGAACCTCGCCGCGGGGGAACTTTCTCCGCGCGCCCCTACTTTTGTTCGCCGCCTCTTTGGGGGTCTCTTCGGCGCCCCTTGGGCCCGTCTGGGTGCCATTTTGGTGCCTCCTGGGGGCCTCGGGATGCTCTGGGACACCTCTTGGAGCCTTCTTGGGGGCCTCTCGGGGCCGTCTTGGGCCGTCTTGGAGCGCCCCGAGAAAGCTCCGAGGGGGTCGCCGGAAGACCCCCGGCGACGTCGCACCAAGCGCGCTCCGCTACTACGCATTTGGGGGCCCTCTGCGGGCTCGCAAGGGCCGCGAGGGGGGCCCCAAGAAGCCTCCCTGAAACGTCTGAACATTCATGTCGCACGCGCGACAGGAATCACGCGATATACACATCGGACGCCGCGTGTAAATTCGATGTTCAAGGGCACGTTTGCAGCCGGGCCTGGCTGAACTAACGCGACTACACAAGAGGCGACGGCAATTCGCGCTCATGCCCGCGTTGGCGTTACAGCCGCATGCCGCGTCAGACATGGGGCTGGCGCGGCGACAAAATGTAGAACCCCTCAGTTTTGAAAAAAAATCGAAGGGTGGGACTGAGAGCGATGAGAAGCGATTTGGAAGAGGAGGAGCTGAATCAACACCCCAGGACTGGCTGGACTGCGATGGCCGAGCTGGCCCTGGGCGGCCATTTTTCCCTCTCATCAGGTCTCTCCGCTTTCCCCCGCCCCCGTCCTCGTCGTCAACCTCGGCCTCGTCGCCTCGCATTCGTTGTCGTCGCCCTCTCCCCCCCTGCCCATCCTGCCCCTCGCCCTGCGCGTCTGCGCGCGAGGGCGAGCGCGGCGCGCGAACGGAACGTGCCCGGACGTTGAGACGCACGCCCAGAGATGGAGAACTTCGCAGCGAAATGTTCGAGATTCCCCTCGGGGCAAGGGCCTCAGCAAGGGCCTCAACGGTCATGGACTCCACGCCGCGTCAATCGCGACCCCTGCCCCCGAGAAGTAAACTCTTGAGGAGAGGCGCGCCCAGGGAATTCCGACGTCGAATCGCCGCGCGCGGGGAACAAGCCAGCGACGCGGAGCGACGAGGGGAAAGGGAGGAGGGGGGGGGCTGGAGGAGAGGAGGGAGAGATGGGAGGAGGGCGGGATGGGGCGGGGGGAAGGAGGGACGGGGGCAATGCTGACCAGCTTCGCGGATCTGCCTTTCTTGGGCTGGGTCCGGCGACCCACCCCGCGCTGCGCGCGGGCGCCCCTTTCGCGCGTCGCCAATCCTGATCCGCCAGCGAGGGGCGCGCTGACCCATCTCAGCTGTCATCGCACTCCCCCGCGCCCCCCCCCCCTGCCGCTCGCCTGGTCGCGGGGGGCGGGCGGCGATGGCAATGGGGGCAAAAGGCAGAGGTCAAGATTTCGACCCAGGCCTTGAACCCCCGTCTGCGACTTCTTCTTTTTTTGGGGGGGGGCTCTCCACCCCCTCCCTCGCCCCCCCCTCTTCCTCCTCCCCCCCTTCCCCCCCCCCTTCCTGCCCACACCTCTTCCTCCTTCCCTCCTCCTCCTCCTCCTCCTCCTCCTCCTCCTCCTCCTCCTTCTCCGCGTCTGCTTCCCTCCCCCCCCCCCGTCCTCCTTCCCACCCCCCCTCTCCCTTCTCTCCCCCCATCCTCCCTCCATTCCTTCTCCTGGCAAACAACATCCCCCCGTCGCACCCCGTGGCCACTCATTGGGGCGGGCGGGGCGCCTCGCCTGAGACCTCCACGCCATTTCTGACTCCGAAGCTGAATTATTAGCGACAGTTTCACATGTGGAGGGCGGGCGGTTCTCAAAATGCGGACCTCGCCTTCGCGCGGCGCGCATTCGCTCCGGCCGTTTGCAAGAGCTTCGCGATTTTAGGGCGGGTGGTGTCCAATGCGCGGCCCTCGCCTCAGCGCGGCGCGCATTCGTGTTCAATGTTTTGCAGGAGTTTCGCGCGTCGAGGGCGGCCCCT